GATCTCTTTCAGTAGGTGATTGGTGGATTCTTCCAATTTCTGTTTTACCCTCTGATCTAAGCTATTGGGGCAGTTTTCCTTTTTGTTGATATTTCTTGAAATATGATGTTTAGGCTCTTTCTTTGAGCATGACTTTCAGTTAGTCCTATGATTCTTAAATTATCTTTCCTTGAAGACATGGGAAATTTGGGACACTAATGCATTGTTGGTGGAGTTGTGAGCTGATCCAACCATTCTGGAGAGCAATTTGGAACTATCCAAAGGGCAATCAAACTGTGCATACTTTTTGACCCAGCAATAGCACTACTAGGTCTGTATCCCAAAGAGATCATAAAAAAGGGCAAAGGACCTACATATATAAAAATATTTATAGCAGCTCTTTTTGTGATGACAAAGAATTGGAAATTGAGGGAATGCCCGTCAACTGGGGAATGACTGAACAAGTTGTGGAACATGAATGTAATAGAATATTACTGTGCTATAAGAAATGATGAGTAAGCAGACTTCAAAAAAAACCTGGAAAGACTGACATGAACTAATGCTGCATGAAGTGAGCAGAACTAGGAGGACATTGTACACAGTAACAGCAACATTGTGCGATGATCAACAATGATTGACTTAGCTCTTCTTGGGCAATTCCAAAAGACTCATGATGGAAAATACTATCTACCTCCAGAAAAAGAGTCTGAATGCAGTTCGAAGCATATTATTTTTAAGTTTGGGTTTTTTTTTTTCCCTTTTATTCTGTTTCTTCTTTCACAACATGACTAATATGGAAATACGTTTACATGATTGCACGTGTTTATAACTTATCAGATTGCTTGCCATCCTGGAGAGGGGGATTGGGATGGAGGGAGAAAAAAATTGAAACTCAAAATTTTATACAAAAATGAATGTTGAAAACTCTTTATATGTAATTGGAAAAAAGAAAATACTATTCCCCCCCCCCAAAAAAAAATCCCATCTTGATCTGTTTTCCAGGCCAGTTGTTTTTCCAGTGAGATATTTCACATTTTCTATTTTTTTATTCTTTTAACTTTGTTTTATTGTTTCTTGATGTCTCATGAAGTCATTAGCTTCCGCTTGCCCAATTCTAATTTTAAGCAATTATTTTCTTCATTGAGCTTTTGTACCTCTTTTTCCATTTGACCAATTATGCTTTTTAAGGAGATTTTTTTGTTTGTTTGTTTTTGGCTAGGCAGTGGGGTTAAGTGACTTGCCCAGGGTCACACAGCTAGTAAGTGTCAAGTGTCTGAGGCTGGATTTGAACTCAGGTCCTGCTGACTCCAGGACTGGTGCTCTATCCACTGCACCATCTAGTTGCCTCAAAGAGTTCTTTTTCTTCAGTGAATTTTTATACCTCCTTTTCTGTTTAGCCTATGCTGCTTTTTAAGGAGTGATTTTTTTTTTTTCAGTGAATTTTTGTGCTTCTTTTATCATTTAGCCCATTCTGTTTTTTAAGGTGATTTTTCTTCGGTATTTTGTGTGTGTGTGTGTGTGTGTGTGTGTCTGTGCCTCTTTTATCAAGCTGTTAACTCTCTTCATAATTTTCTTCCATTGTTCTCATTTCTTTTCCCAATTTTTCCTTTGGCTCTATTAATTTCTTTCTTTAATTCTTGCAGGGATTCTTGAGCTTGGGGTGAGTGAGCATTTTTTGTTTGAGGCTCTGGCTGTTTTCACATTGCTTTCTTCTCAGTTTGTGTCTTGGTCCTCCCTGCAGCTATAATCACTTTTTATGATCAAGTTCTCTTTTCTTGTTCGCTCATTGTTCTGCCCTATTTCTTAACTTTGAATTTTATGTTAAAGTTGTGCTTGGTGCATGTTATGGTAGGGAGGCGCTGTGCTGAACTGTAGGCTTTTTTCTGCTGCTGTTTTCAGAGCTAGTTCTGAGGGTCTGCAAGTTTTTGATGCTTTGGTGATGTGATCCTAGAAGAAGTATGGTTACTTCTGTCCTAGTCTGCACTCTGTTCTTTACCCAGGAAGGACCCCTGGTCCCCTGCAGCCACAAGCTCTAGTGCTGTTTACCTTGGAACAAGGGACCACGGCCCCTTGCTTCCTTGTGACCACACCCCTGTGCTCCTCTCCACTCTGAAGCTGTGACCCAGAACTGCATATGGGCAGTGAAGTTGCCAATCAGTGCTAGCTGTGCTCAGTACCTGCAAAGGATGCTCTATTCTCTTTCTGACCATTTGTCTAATCCCCTTACTGTCCCTGGGCTGAGAGCTCCCAAAGCTGCTGATGTGGCTACTCTCCCTGTCACCATTTGTGGACTCCAGACAAACTTCTAAACCAATATTGAAAATTCCTCTTGCTAACCCTCCCGAGTTTTCTTAGGTGGAAAAAATGTGTCACCTTGACCTTTTTTTGGATCTGCCACTCCAAAAATTTGATTTGAGGCATTATTTTAAAGTTATTTGGAGGGGAATGTTGAGAGAGTTCAACTGGGTTGCCTCTAATCCATCAACTTTGGCTCTCCCTATCCAAAACTGTTTGTTCATATCCTTTGACCATTTATCTGGTTGATATCTAGTTGTTTTCATAATATCCTTTTTGCAAATACCATCATGAACTTTGTAATACAAGGTGACTAAATAAGTGACCTATGAAATGATGTTTTTTGTTGCCTTTGCATGAATGAAAAAAGCAACTCCCTGAAGTCTTTTAAGAGCCTACCCAGGGGGCAGCTAGGTGGCGCAGTGGGTAGAGCACTGACACTGGATTCAGGAGGACCCAAGTTCAAATGCGGCCTCAGACACATACTAGCTGTGTGACCCTGGGCAAGTCACTTAACCCCATTGCCTAACCCCAAAAAAACAAAGCCTACTCAAAGAGAGCCTCTTAAATATCCTTCCATTTTTCTGTAAATTTTTTATGTCTTATGGTTTTGTTTACATTGAGAATGTCAAGATGGATACAATTCTTTGCTCCAGTAGTAAGTCTTCTTGGTCAGTGGACTATATATTACATTTATAGTATCAGCCAGATAAGTTAACATTTATAAAAAGTCTCAAAGCTCTGCCCCCTTTTCTGCCCCTCTGCCACCACTGTCTTTACATAAAGCAGACTGGAGCCACATAAGACTGAGGACCATTTGTCTTTCTCTTTGATAATGGATTGTAATGTTCAAATAATTCATTACCAGGTGGTCAGCCTACGGATTTTGAGCCTTTCTTTTCTTAGCTCCTTGGACGGCAGAAATAGTCTGTTGTTCAGACCATGCTCTTTTGGAATAGCCTTAGAGTACCTAGCATCACCTTGCTTGGTGGAGGCATCAGAATAGGACTTTGTAAAGTGTATGTCACTAACCAGTTGCTAAATTAGGAGTATACTTGAGTACTTGAACACATTTTCTCTTGTTTTGTTAACTGTTAGCTCCGAGAACAAATGGCCAAAGAGTCAGAGAGGTTTTGCAGTTGCTGTTAACTTTGAAAAAATCAGGGAGCTCACATAAGTTATCAAAACCACACAACCAAAGAGCTCACAGTGGTCATAAGTAAAAAGCTTTCTTTATTCCATGGGAAGTTGGAAACTAGCCATTTGCTGGGGCTCCCTCTAGTGGGAGACCCACTTTAGTGTGGGCAAATCTCAATACATATACTAGTGGATACACAGTGAGCTGTAGCTCTGATAATGAGGGGTAATAGCAGCAATGATATGCATTTGATTAGTAGCAGGACTTCTTGACCAGAACACAGGTGCTTGTCCAAGCTCAGGGACCACCTGATGCTGGTGTGAAACAATTCTGGGGTTTTGCTGTGGCTGAGATCATTCAGAGGGTGAGCCACAAAGAATTGTTGTTATGTCAGGACATAACTTGCTTGGCTGGGCCTGGAAAACAAGAGAGGGTGGTTTTGGCATGGGGATCCTGACATTACATAGTGCATCAAAAAGGACTTATACTAGAATGTTTTGTTAGTATTCTCTGAACAAATTTATTGTGTCATTTTGATATTGTTTTAAATTAATTTGAAAGAAAGGTTTTATATGTGGAGTAGCAGGCCCGAAATTTCTTTATCTTTTCTAAGCTTTTTTCCCCTAGGCCATCAAAGCAGAGAAATAGTACTCTTGCTGTGCGTGAATGCGTGTATGTGTGTAATCAGGTTTATACAAAAACAGACTTGAATCTGGCTTTCATGATACTTTGCAGCCTATATTCTCTGCCACTAACTAGCAGTTTGGTATTAAACAAGCTGCTTTACTTCCTGGCTCTTAGTTTATTCATGTGTGAACTGAAGAACTTGAACTAGATGATATCTAAATGCTCTTCTGATCTGTTCTTTAATTTTTTTTTTTAATGGTTCATTTCCTACAGTAAGCCTGAATTTGTGATTTGAGACTCAGTTATAGAAGCTATGGGTTATTTCTTAAATATAGAATTGGAAATAAGAAGGAAATAATCTAGGCTGTTGAGTAGTAACCATGTCTACAAATGTTGAGAAAAGTGTATAATATAGAGCAGTATCTTTTACAAATGATGTATTTTGCCGCCTTAACATTTAATCTAGCTAAATGTAATTACAGTATGGCATAGTTTGTGTATGTTAACTAGATTGACTTTTGTAGAAGTTGAGCTTTGTGTGATGTTACGTTTGCTATCAGCTGCATCCTCTGTTAGACCATTTTGCTTAACTCTTTTAAAAAGGAAACTTTACTGAGAAGTAATGGTTGTTTCATAACACGGTGTATTCCCTCCCTCTGTCAAGCTATACTTGCTTTAATTCACACTCTAGTAATTGATAATAACTAGACCTAACCTGGGCAACATTTAATTTGTACAATCCATGAAGAAAGAGTTTGCAAAACAATTAATGGTATAAAAAAATTAGATTGTATTTAAACTATTTGAAGTGTTAAGTACATTGTTTGTGGAATCGATATAATGGCTAAGGGTCCCCTTCAAAGAACTTAAAGCATTTAGTTTAGCATTGGGGGCATACTGGAAAATTAAACTATTTAATGACTACATATATGTTTAATAAGAACTTATTTTTATTAAACAGCACCTATGGAACCTTCTCAAGAAGAACAGTCAGTGTTGTATAAAGGTAATTTTCTATTATGCTATCTCTTCATCAGAAGTCGTTTGTTTTGGGGTTGGAAGGATAGGTTTTTTTGGGGTTTTTTTTTTTTTTTTTTTTTTGGTAAACATGCATTATATCTCAATTTCCTGTTTAGGTTCAAATTCAGCTGTTAGCATGGAAGTTTCAGAACCTGTTGGTAAGACACTTTCTGACCATATTAATACAGTAATATGAAACTTTCAATCTCAAGATTTAAGGTGCAAATGTAAGTGTTATATTATAATGGCTAAATTGAGCACTGGCTTAATTGAGTCTTTGCTATTAAGTGCATACGTAGAATGTATATTATGCTTTTCAGTTACTTTTGGGATGATTTTAATTTGACATGATTGTTACTGTGGTAAATGTAATGATCACAACTGTAACAAGACTAAGTGGAATGCTGTTAAATAAACTTAAAGTATTTGTACTTGTTCAATGTACTTTTGGCAAAAACTTCCATTTTACTCTGTGTTTCATTAATGTTTTCTATTATTACCAAGCTGATTAACGGAAGTTTAGACCAGATTTAAATGACAGTTTTTTAGATGTCCAATGAATTTCTTCTTGAATTCCTAGTTTTTAATTGTTCTTTCCATTAAATTGCAGTCATTTTCAGATATTGGAATATTGGATGTCTACATTAAAGAGTTTTAAATTCATGTTTGTCTTTGCTATTTTTCCCTTATGAAAATGCTCCTTAGCTAAAATAGAAATCTCATAATTTCTGAGAACTTTCTGATGTCAGTAGTCAACTGTTTTAACCTGTTATCAGCTTCAGAAATAAGTGGAGATATTCCTGCTTTTATGTATGTAGCAGGGCATTAGAAAATGAAATTTTTTCCGGTAAATATCTTCATAAAAAATATCTGTGGTTGGTTGTAAAAGTGAGTTCAAAAATAAAATTAAGACATTTGTCTTCTTCCAGTAGAAAATGGAGAGACAGAAATGTCCCCAGAAGAATCATGGGAGCACAAAGAAGAACCTAGTGAAGCAGAACCTGGGGGTGGCTCTTTGGGAGACGGAGGGCCTCCAGAGGAAAGTGTCCCGGAAATGATGATGGAGGAGGAAGAAGAAATACCAAAACCTAAATCTGTGGTAGCACCACCAGGTGCACCTAAAAAAGAACATGTAAATGTAGTATTCATTGGGCATGTAGGTAAGTAGTAAATAGGTGAAGGCTAGGGGATTATTATATTATAGTTGCATGAAAATATTCAGTTTACTGTGGCATTTCAGTCATTGATAGCTTGCATGTCCTATTTTATATGTATTTTAGGAGCTAAAACCTTTTTTTCCTTTGATTTTTGATAAAATCTACTTAATACAATAATTTCAGTATCCACTTTCTATGAAATAATTAACCAGAGGGTTTTCTGATTCTTTGGGTCTGCTTATCTAGCCAGAGACATATTTACTCAGATATTCTCCATTGCTGCTATTTGTTTTCTGAATGGGGAACTGGAGGTGGGAATGAGTGTAAAGAAGAAGAGGCTACTTTCTCAGTGATAACCCATCACTTGTTTTCATGCCACTTTTACAGATCCCATTGGTGAGAAATTACAGTTCATGCTGCACTTGTGCTCTGTTAACAGGAGCTGAGGGAGCAATTTACTCAAATAATTCTCCTTCCCCCTGCGCAGTATCTCCCAGGTCAAGAAGATTATTGGATCTTGAATATATACCATGACTGAAGCATCAATTTCTATGGAACAAATAAAATTATTTTCTGGTCTTTACTTTTGTTTTTGTACTTTTGGTTTGACTACTTTCCTGTATATTTTGAAGAATGGGTACTCAAGACATGGGTATAGAGTGCCCAGATTCAAATGCAGCAAGAAATAGAAAAAGAGAGGGGCAGCTAGGTGGCGCAGTGGATAGAGAACCGGCCTTGCAGTCGGAAGAACCTGAGTTCAAATCCAGCCTTGAACACATCATACTTACTAGATGTGTGACCCTAGGCAAGTCACTTAACCCCAATTGCCTCACCAAATTTATTTTTATATATCTATATATATCTATATTTTTTTTTTATAAAAGGGGGGAGAGTATTAATGCTCAGTACTCTTACCATTCTTGGTACAGATTATTTGGAAAGAAAGTGTAAAGCTGACATAGTGGTGATTAAATGTAGGTTGTCCCCATAATGCCTTTTCTTTTTTTTTTGGTGAGGCAGTTGGGGTTAAGTGACTTGCCCAAGGTCACACAGCTAGTACGTGTCTAGTGTTTGATCTGAGGCCGGATTTGTGTAATTCCTTTTCTAAATGCAGTAGTGGTCCTTTATGATAGCATATGTATCCACTTTTACTTAACTTTTTAATAATTTATATTTCTTCACTTTTTCTAGATGCTGGTAAATCAACTATTGGAGGACAAATAATGTAAGTTGATTTTATTTTTAACAAATCTCTTTAATGTTATCAAAGTTCAAGGGTAGAAACATAAAAACTAAGCAAATCAGTCCCAGCCACTTAAGAACCAGCAACTTTAAAACAATGTTCCCGTCAAGGAAGGTTGAACCAACCTCAGTCATCTCCAAACCAATATTTACAGCAGTTGAATCCTTAGTCTTCTACAAACTTTTGAGTTTCTTAATTTCTTAATTTAAATACCAGCTTATTTGCTGAAAAGTCTCATAGTGTTGTTAAGGATACCAAAAAAAACAACTTTTGGAATTCAAAATTCTTGATTGATTCACTGAAGATGTTGAATGTAATCGACTTGGAGATTTTAAAAACTAGTTCTGAAAGTAGATGGGGAAATGCTTTCTTCTCTTTACCTATTAAGTATCAAGAACATAGCTGGACTGCCCTCCTCTCAACCTCCACCCTAAACCTTAAAATAATTAGATTTTTTCTTGTTGACTGCTTTAAAAGTTTTAAGATATGCACATATGTGTGTGTTTGTTTGTATGCATTTTTCAGGTATTTGACTGGGATGGTTGACAAAAGAACACTTGAAAAATATGAACGAGAAGCTAAAGAAAAAAACAGAGAAACTTGGTATGGAAATTTTTATTATAGTAATAACAGAAACTGCTGGAAATTTGCTTAATTTTGTCTAGATATTGGGCCATAGTGACCAATTTTGTGGTCCCTGTTAGTATAATTATACTATTCTCTCTGTTGGAATAGTTCCCAAATTCAGAGTTATTTGGTGGTAAAAGTGTGTTTAAAAATTTGTGTGTCTATATTAATGAATTCTAGAATCTTTGAAAGGTAGAAACTTTGGGTTTTGTGCTAAAAAACTAGACTGCTTTTTGTTCAGGTTTTCCTCCATCCTTCCCAGTTGTGTAGAATAAGGCAGTAGGAAGGTGATGCAAAAAAATGCAATTTATATCATCCTTTGAAACATTTATGGAGGGAGTGGCAACACTCGTGCAAACTCCAAACAGTATATCAAATACTGAAAGGAAAATGGAATTTTGTATTCTTTCAACATGAATTAAAGTGGCATGACAATGAAGAATGATTTGAATTCCTAATTGGTGCACAAAAACTAAGGTGGTCATGCAGGTTAGATAGAAATTTGTCATTATTTTATCATTCAGACCTACGTATAAATATTTGTAAAAGCAGGAGTCTTGTATGTCTTTGTGAATAGCCTTGCTTTTCTCCTAGAAATTATCAAGTGGTTTTTTTGTCTATATATTAAGTTCTATTATCTTAATTATACAGACATATCCCCAGGCAGTCATACATTTTGCTGCATTATTTTTTTTTAATAAGAATGCTATAATTTTTGCCCACAAATACTTTGAGGTTGTTACTCCCATGGGATTGATAGCTCTGACATTTTTATTTTAATTTATTTTTCTTACATATTTCGGTTAATTACAGTGACTTGGAAATGATGAGTTTTGAGATCATTTGATTGGTCCTATTGAGGGTCACAGTAATAGCAATTTTTATTACTTGGTTGCTTTTTCTTATGAGGGGAATTGAGAATTGTCAATATGTAGACAAATGAATTTTACTTTGAATCATCTTATTTGTGGATGTTTCTTTCATTGAATTTTGGGTGGGTAAAGTTTTAATTCAGAGATTCATTCATGAGTGTTGAAACACTCGTAATAGATGAGTATCATCTTCATTAAGTTGCCTCAGTTCCTCATCTGTAAAATAAGCTGGAGAAGGAAATGGCAGACCACTCTAGTGTCTTTGTCAAGAAAACCCCACGGACAGTATAATCCTAAGGGTCAATAACTGTCTTTTTTAAAGAGGGAATGGGGTTGGATGGAATTCATGTGATTCCAAGTGGGGAATATCAATTCTTAGATTACTAAGTTACTCCCCAGCATATGCTTGCATGTAAATTTTTTTTTAAGGAATGATATGGAGAAAATCTTAAATAATATAGGTGCAGTTTTAAAAATAATATATCTTTAAAATTGTACTTCTCATAGGTACTTGTCATGGGCCTTAGATACAAATCAAGAAGAACGAGACAAAGGTAAAACTGTAGAAGTGGGCCGTGCCTACTTTGAGACAGAAAAGAAGCACTTCACCATCCTAGATGCCCCTGGGCACAAGAGTTTTGTCCCAAACATGATTGGTGGTGCTTCTCAAGCTGATCTGGCTGTGCTGGTAAGAGAATGTTATCAGTCAACTTTTGTTCTATTACTGCAGTTTAGTTTGAATTCTAGAGATTTGAGTTCATTTTGAATAAATTGGCAAGTGGTAGAGTTCATAGTCACCAACTTTATACTCAGTTATTTCTTTCCCAGGAGTCTGATGATTATGGTTTTGTGACTGGAATTAATACATAGAGTTGTGACATGGAGTTAGATAGATCTTCTTTTCCCTGCTCCCAGCTCAGTTTATGTACTGCTAGATCAGAACCTCAAAGAAATTACTTCTTTACACTTAAGTGTTTTGTACATCTCCATATGTTCTGTGGGTCAGTTTCCATCTGGTACCTAGTACAGTGCTCTGCACGTAGTAAGTGCTTAATAAATATATGCCTACTTTACAGTGTACTTAATGAAATTTTCAAAAATCAGTACTGTCATGAATGTTGTAGAGTATTGTGTCTGTCTGTCTGTCTGTCTTCTCCCCTGTGTGGCTCCCACTCTGGCCCCCAGTGAAATGAAAGATGAATGATACCTGGGGAGGAAGGTTGGGAAAATGTTTTATTATATGAATCATTTTGTTGAAGTGGTCAGTAGTTAAGCCTCATCAATATGGTATATGTTGTTGTATAAATGAATCGATTAACACTACACTGGTGAGGGTGCTGGAAGAAATATTCTTTCATTTAAAAAAAAAAACCCCAAATCTTTGTTTTTCTGATACGGTTTTGAGCAGATTTGTGTACCTGAATGTATGTGTGTGTGTATGCGTGCATGCATGTGTGTGCACATCTTAACTATTTTATATTTTACGTTTTGTTTGGATATAGTAGATACCCCAAAACACCACTCTCCAAAAGTACTTTGTTTGAATGAAGTTAAGCACAAAGGCTAATAAAAGCAATGTCCATGCAAGCTGCTTTCTGCTTTTGTAGGCCAAATTTTCTGAGATCTAACAAGTATTTGAATGTTGTTTGCTAATAGCAACAAACATTAAACATCTACTGGGCTCAGTGCTGGGTGGAATAGTGTAGTAGGGATAACAAATGGAGTTAACTATAATACTCAGTATTAAGTGAATTCATTAATTGCAGAAGTACTTTTTAAGGTCCAAAAGGGAAAGTTGTTAATATTGAGCCTTGGGGGCAGGTGGGGCTGAATGTCAGGAAAGATTTCATGGAAGAGATAATATTTGAATTGGACTTTAAAAAGATGAATAGGAAGTTGCTAGCTGAATGGGGGCGAGGATGTTCCAGGCATTAAGAAACTAAGCAAAAGCACAAAGTAAAGCAGGGAACCAAACTTTTCTGTATCTTTAATCTGTAAGATAAAGCTTGAAAAATAAGAGTGAGAACCACTTAGTTCAGGGCGTAGATTGTCTTGCAAAGAATGTAGCATTTCATTCAATAGGCAGTAGGGAGCCATTGAAGATTTTTCAGTAAATGAGGAAAGGAACCATCTGTGTAAGATTATTCTGTCATGAATGTGATGGATGAATTGAAAAAGAAAAAATGGAAGTGGCAAGAAATACAAAGCTATTACAAAAGTCTAGGCAGGTGTTAATGAAAGACCTACCTGTACTAGGGTGGTGGTAGGTAATACTATAGGGATAGTCTTTCTTCTTTCTTTCCTCGTTTCTTATGGTAGATTCTATTATGGCTGAAGTATGTAACATTTTCAAATTGGAAATGTGTGTACTGAAGAAAAACTGGGTTGTTTTCTTGGAATAGGTAATCTCTGCCCGGAAAGGAGAATTTGAAACTGGATTTGAAAAAGGAGGACAGACAAGAGAACATGCCATGTTGGCAAAAACAGCAGGTGTAAAACACTTAATTGTGCTTATTAATAAGATGGATGACCCAACAGTAAATTGGAGCAATGAAAGGTGAATAAAGCTTGTATTCATTTTTTTCAGATATCTTGCTATTTATTCATAATCACTTAATGGAGAGAACTGTGGTTTTCTCAAAAGTGTTTTATTTGAAGCTCTTAAAAAAAAATCACTAACACTTTGCTGATAACTTAAGTTATTTCAGGCCTTTCCCCTGAAAAATCTCCTTGGTAACAAATAAGACAAGTGAAAAAGGCCAATACACAAACTGTGTTTGAAAATTTATGGCTCATTCTATACCTATTGTCTACCATCTCTGCCAATTTTTGGGAACATGCTTCATCCCTATGTTCTTGTAACTGGTCATTACATTGATCAGACCTGAAGCCTTTACAGTGTTCATATAAATTATTCTCCTAGTGCTGCTTTCTGGGTGTGAGCTTATACAAATCTTTCCAATTTTTCTCAATGTTTTATATTTGCCATTTTTTGTATTTCAGTATTCCAATACATTGCTTTTTTTTTTCTTTTTTTGCTAGGCAATGGGGTTAAGTGACTTGCCCAGGGTCACACAGCTAGTGAGTGTTTTGTGTCTGAGGCCTGATTTGAACTCAGGTCCTCCTGACTCCAGAGCTGGTGCTCTATCCACTGCGCCACCTAGCTGCCCCCCAATACATTGCTTTAACAATTTTCTGTCTTCCAGTCAATGGGAACCTATTTTTCCTTTACGTCTTTTCCAGAAATTCTGATGTGCATATTTTTATATCTGTGGGACTTTTCTTACATCTTTGACCTCCTAGGGATCATAGTGGCATTCCTGGGTCACAGCAATGTGTAGTTTAGTTCAGTTTATATAAAGTTTAGGGACTATTTAAAAGTATGATGGCAAATTGTTTTCTGGAATAGCTGATTGCATTCACAGCTCTGATAGCAATACATTAATATACTTGTCTTCCCACAGTCCCTCTAGCATTTATCGATTTTGTCTTGTCACTTTTGTCCTAATCTGATTGTACTGAGGTGGAATCTTGAGTTGTTTTAATTTGCACTTGTTATTTGTGATTTTGAGCATTTTTTATATGGTTGTTGATAGCTTGCATATACCAAGCTTTCAAAAACTTTAAACTGTTCGTAAGCTACTGGGAATCATTTGTATCTTCTTTTTGAATTCTCCTTAATGATGAAATGTTATATAATTATCTTTTTCACAATTGGCTAATTTTTACTAAATATTTTTAGATATGAAGAATGTAAAGAAAAGTTGGTGCCATTTTTGAAAAAAGTTGGCTTCAATCCCAAAAAGGATATACACTTCATGCCCTGCTCAGGATTGACTGGTGCAAACCTTAAAGAGCAATCAGATTTCTGTCCTTGGTATATGTAAGTATCTTTAAGATTGAAGAAAATAATGACTATACAGTGTTCTTGTTTAATGAGGTCCATGTCCTTTAAAGACATGATGATTTTGTGAGATATATTTACAGTAATAAAGAATACAACCTTGCTGTTTTGAGGGAAATGATTATTGTTTAGAATCATAATTTTGGAATTAAGATCTGGGTTAGTCTTAATTTTATAGGCATCATCAGATGATTGCTTCAAAAATATTTCCTCACTAGTCTACATGACATAGAAACGAAAGTAACAAATAGATAAAGACCAGATGTTTAATGTAACTAATGCTTAAGTAACTAATGCTTAACCACAGTGGAGAGAACAGTGGCTTTGAAATCAGAAGACATGTTTTTTAACTAATTTATTAGTTAGTGGGGTATTGGGAAAGTCATTTCACCTCTCAAACAAGCCTCAGTTTCTTCATTTATAAAATGGAGTTTGTACTACATCTTTTACAAGATGATGATGAGGCTTTCGTGAGATTATGTGTGTAAAACACCTGGTACACTATAAAGTGTTATAAGTTCCTATCCTAGGAACCAATTTGTGAAAAACAATAATAAATATTGTTAAGGGGAAAAGCTCTTTGAAATGAATAGAAAATATTGTTAAAACAGTTATACTTATCTTTCTGCATTAGTTGCCAGTACCAGATCATTCCGATTTATAACTTTTCTGACTTGTCTTATTGGGCAGAACTAGTGTTGTTAATTGTTGTATATCTTTTCAGTGGGTTACCATTTATTCCATATCTGGATAATTTGCCAAACTTCAACAGATCAGTTGATGGACCAATCAGGCTGCCAATTGTGGATAAATACAAGGTATCAAGAAAGACAATGGTTAGATGAGGGTGATTTAGTTCAGAATAATTTCTGCTAACAAAGTAGCATAAAGAAATTTAAACAATGGATTGTATTCTCTTTAACTTCTCCTGGGGTTTTTTAGTAAGTCATTTCGATTTTTTAAATCCTGGAGTTGCTCTTATTAGTAGTTTGTGGATACTAGCACAGAACCTTTCTCAGAGAGTTGATTATATTCATTCAAATAATGATTTTTGAAAATATGCTACTTACTTCAAATTTGAGATCCTTTACTCAGGTCCTTGGTCTAATTGTTTTCCCTTCTTCAGTCAGCCCTAGTGATTGTTCCATAAAAATTAGTCTGAATAATTACTTTTTTACAAGTATGGCTTCCAAGGTAATCAGTAAGGTTGAAAACATAACCAACAAATTATGCTTGTATGTCTAATTTTTAAAAATCTATTTCTAAAGGATATGGGTACTGTGGTCCTGGGAAAGCTGGAATCGGGCTCTATTTGTAAAGGACAGCAGCTTGTGATGATGCCAAACAAGGTAAGAATGAAAAAGTTCTCTTCTAAGTAAGTGGTAATGCTGTATTCCATTTTAATTTTTTTCTTGAAAATGTCACTAAAGATTTGGAACATGAAATATAGCAAGACCTAGTGCCTTCAATCAAAGAAAATTCACCATTCATCTAAGTAAATGTTTCATCACAGTCTTTGGGAAGAGAAAAAGAAATGGGTGAAATTGGCAGGGATAGAGGGTGATGGAACCATGGCCAAGTGTCATTCAGTTTAAAAGTAAATACAGTAGGACTCTTCCATAACTTTCATCAGGATCTTAACCTTGGTAAATGAAGCTTTTACTCTATATGGTTAAGATGTGGTACAGTGTCTACAGCTGTGCCATATAAACTATGTTGTTGGTTGATTCTAATAGGTTCTTGTTCCTCTGATTTCAGAGATCTGCCAAGACCCTAAAAGAGGCCCTTGATAATTCCAAAAATAGACATTATCAGTGTTTCATTAAAATATGTGAAACCCCAGAACTTGATTGTTATATTGTAGTTTAAATATTGTGCTTTCTAGTTAGTGTTTGAATTAGTGGCATCTAGCCTTTGAGTTTAAAAAAAGTCTTATTTATACATAGTTTTTTGCCTTACATATATCTTGCCAGCCCATAATAACATATTTCTACCTAGAAATTTATTATTTCAATTAATGATCTCTGCATTGTTGTTATCTTGAATGTATGGAATCAGGGGAAAAAAACACTCAATAAATTTTCATTGAACTGAATTGATATTGACTATGGAGTAGTAGTGCTAGACAATTAACTATTTCCTGATGGGCCAATTTAATAGGTGGGCTATTGTTGGAGACAGTTGTGCCTGATAAGGATAATTGCTTTTATTCCCACAGAGAAACCCCAAAGCTGCTAGTCCCATTTGGCCCTTAGTGGAACAGAATGGCCTAGCAAGTTGGAGATTAGACTATTAGAAGTGTACTTTGTACATCTAAAACCCAGTAAGAATACCAGTTTCTTCATTTCTAGGCTTTCGGTGACTGGCCTGAAATCTTTTGTAAGCTCAAAATTGGCTCTATTCTAGTATTCCATTGACCCTACCCCAAAACTGTAATTCCCTCTCTCCCTGTCTCTTTTCTCTCAGCAAGAAATCATGTAGTCTTACTGTTCAGAAATATAAATTGTTAGTTGTTTCAAAATTATAAAACTATCAGATATTGAATAGATATGAGTGAATAAATAATTTGTTTTTGAATTAGAATACCTAATGAGCTAGGGAGTTATCAAAGTTCACTGCAGTTAAAGGATACTTTTTTCTTGTTTGAGAAATCATGCCAGTTTCTGAGATGGATGTGTAGAAAGGGTTATTATAGTATTGGTCCATCACTTAATGAGTATTAATATGTACCTTAGAATCATGTGTCTTAAGGAAACCTTGAATTAACTTAGTCTTTTTCCCAGACTTGAGCCAGAGTCGCAATTCAAATTACCCAAACATATCAGAGAAAGGAGATAGTACCATCTCACTTAGGAGCCCGTTCCAATGTTTAATAATCCTCTATCTGGAAATTCTTCCTTAATATTTAATTTAAAGCCTTCATGCTGCAGCTTAAGCCCATTTCCTCTCGTTCTGTCCTCAGTGGAGATGGAGAACAGCTGGTCACCATCCTCAGTATAATAACCCTTCATATACTTGAAGAAGTTGTTTGACTCAAACCCACATTTGGCAAAGGAATCTCGAGATAAAGATTCACATCACCTTTAGATTAGCTCCATTGGTCTTAACCATTAAAGGACATTTGTGTGTGGGGGTGGTGCTGGATTAGTTGAGCATAAAATAGTAAGTAAAGATTTCTTGTTACACTTCTGTGTGGTGGGGTTGTTAGTGTCGACCCCTTTGCTCCCTTAAGGTAGACAGTTTAGTTAAAAGTATAGTCCTGTCTTTAAATTCATATACAAGAAATAAATGTCCTTGCCTATTTTCTGTGTAGAATCATGGTGGGTGGGAGTGGGAGAAGTTGCCTTTAGAAAGGTTTTGGTATAGAAAATGTTGATTCAGAATTTCACAGAGATCCCTTTCTAGTTATTCATTAATATAAGGGTAATATTTTAGAAAGGATATTGCTTCAACACTACTGATTATTTTTTCATATGATCTGCTTTTAAACTCAAATGTCTAAATAGCTTTCAGAAAATGCAGACTTTTAGGTTATTGGGAATTGATAGACATTGGGAGATGTCCCATGAGATTAAGGAAGTTGGACCTTAGAAGAATCAAATAACTAATTCCCACTTGTATTCGTGGTAATAAAGATCTACTAAATTAAGTGTAAATTAGGGGCTTTATAATAGAAGAATTAATATACAAATACAGGCCTTGATTGCTCCTTTGTACAGTATCAGAATAAGGCAACAAGCATTTATTAAGTTATTTTATGCCAAGTACTTTGATTACCATGTAAAGATGTGAGGAATTGCTTTATATTTTGATTTGCAGTTGTATTGTTGGTATATTTGTTTTATTTCCATCATTGGTTTTGAATGGAATAATCTTTTCAGTACAAGATACTTTTCATTGTTTAATCAGTAAGTAAAAAACCTAGCTATAAGACTTAAGCAAATATTCATATGTAATTTTATAAATTATAATGTAATGAACACATTTTTCAAATATCAAAAAAATCCAATCTTGGTTTCTTTAAGCACAACGTGGAAGTTCTTGGAATCCTTTCTGATGATGTAGAAACTGATTCTGTAGCCCCAGGTGAAAACCTCAAGATTAGATTGAAGGGAATTGAAGAAGAAGAAATTCTTCCAGGATTCATACTTTGTGATCCTAATAATCTTTGTCATTCTGGACGCACGTTTGATGCCCAGGTAAATGCAAGTGCACATATCACTGCACATTAAATCTGATTATAGAGTACTTTGTTTCTCTGACTATTGTTATATATTTTATTTGCATTTTCAGTATGGTGCTGATTATCAAAGTAAGTGTATGGAGGAGAAACTTTACCAACCTATAATGGCACCAAATTAACTGAATCCTTAAAATAATGACTTTGCACATAAATAACCTTTGTTCAAAACAGTCTCAATGCATAATGTCTTAGTTTCTTTTATTCTACATATAATCTGCAATGGGGCACTAAAGCTATTTCTCAAAGAGCTCTAAATTTTAAATAAACTTTGCTTTTGACTTTTAGAAAGTACTATTTAAGTTGTCTTATTTGATCCTTACAATAAACCTGTGTTAGGCAGGGGAGGAGGTTGTGTCCTCATCCTATAAATAAGGAAACTGAGACTCAGAGAGTTTCATTGACTTGGAGTCAAATAATAATAAGTAAATGGCTAAGCAAAGCAGCATTACAAACTGTTGAACTCAACTCTAGCATTTAGCTCATTTTCCTTTGACCTACTGTCAGGTAAGTAATTTTAATGCTACAAATGCTTGACCAATTTAGTTTGACCAATTCAGAAAAGTCAGCATGTCATCTTATACCCTCCTTTAAAACTTTCCATGTTCTACACATACCATAAGTAGCCTTTAAAATAACTATTCATTACAAGGAACAATTTATACTGAGTAACTACAAACCTAAAGCCGTTATGCTGTTAATGGTAGGTTAAATTAGTGCCAGTTTCTTGTTTTTGTTTTTGTTTTGTTTTGCCATTTTTTTATATGCAAGAATGCATAATATGCAAGACTGCAACTTGCTTTCTCTTTAGTACCTTTAAGCCTGGAAAAATAGTAATGAACTTTGTGTTGCTTTTCAGATAGTGATTATTGAGCACAAATCCATCATCTGCCCAGGTTATAATGCGGTGCTGCACATTCATACCTGTATCGAAGAAGTCGAGATAACAGTGAGTTTGTAATAAAATCCACTTTGATTGTCAGACAGTCACTATGAAAAGATGGTACCTAGTTGAAAATGAGAGCTGTTTAAATCCTTGATGTTACAATTCCTCCGTAGTGGCATTTTTGGAATGTTGTTTGGAGTATGGTTTTGGTGTTGAAATTCTTGCAGGGATTGTTAAGTTTTTTGAAGTTAAGGCACATGACTCAGGAGTGGGGGGGACAGAAATTAGTGGACACTAATCTGATTTATTTTTTCTTTATTTAATATAAAATATTTGTTTATCTGGTTTGATGTAAAGCTTCTGGACTTGTGTTTTGGATAGGCCTTAATCTGCTTGGTAGACAAAAAATCAGGAGAAAAAAGTAAGACACGACCACGTTTTGTCAAACAAGATCAAGTATGCATTGCCCGTTTAAGGACAGCAGGAACCATCTGCCTTGAGACCTTCAAAGATTTCCCTCAGATGGGTCGTTTTACCTTAAGAGATGAGGGTAAGAGGACTAAAAAACAACATGTTTGTAACTCATTGGTCTACTGAGATGCTTATGCTTTAGTAAAGTTCATCATTAGAATCTTGCATCATTGTGGGTTCAGAGAGGACTTGAAACCATAGACTATTAGAACTAAAAAAGACCTTTGAAATCATATATTTTAATCCACCTTTTATTGGTAAGAAAAGGGTAAAGTGATTTGTTGGAAGTCACAGCTAATGAGTGCCAAATGATTTAGGACTGGAACCCATACTTCCTGCCTCCTTCATAAAGTGTGCATCAGTGATATAGCGTAGCTATGGTGGGCTGCTTAAAATTGAAATCTCAAATATGATTCCATAGTACCAAATTTTGAAAATATTTTATATGCTAAATTAAATATATGCAAAAATTAAAAATTTTTACTTCTGTCTGCTTGATTTTAATTGCTTGAGCAGTTTGCTCAAGCTTGCCTTCTGTGAATAGAATGTTTTTTTTAATTAACCAAAGTTTTGAATAGCACTGTGTATGATAATTTAACTCTTTTCATTATCTAACCAAATCTATTTCATTTGATGATCTTTGGTTTTGAAATGGGTGATGTTGAAACTTCATGAGAAACTTAACTGAGGAATCATGAAATTAATGCTACTTTTGAGAAAACTCACTTTATTGGAGTTACATATTTATATAGGGTTGATGGGGGAGGTAAGATAGAATACACTTTTATTTTAAAACTCCATACCCTCTATTACTCAGAGCATTTAGTACATAGGGACATAGATTGATTTCTCTTTACCATTGTTACTTTATAATTCTTTGTAAAAATAATCTTAGTGACATTCATCAGTTCATCAACAAATATTTGTTAAGCACTTGTATGCCAGATAATATGCCAGGTACTAAGGATAGATAGGTGAATGTGGAACTGTCTGAGCCTCCAAGGAGCTTACATTCTGTTGTTAGACAAGTGTATCCAGAATAAAGAAAGACAAGGCAGTCTGAGGAGGAAGAACAGTAGCGCTGGGAGATTCAGGGGAAGTTTGATGCGGGATGTGGAGCTTGAGCTGAGTTTTAAAGAAAAGGAAGGGAGAAGGAACAGAGGTGGGAGACACAGGTGTGTAAGAAATGACAGGATAGTACTATGTAATGTGACTGGAAAGGTAGGTTGAGGCCACATTGTGAGGGGCTTCAAAAACTAGGAAGGGGTTGGAGTTAATTGAGTAAGGATGATCAGAACTACCCCTAAGGAAAATCATTTTGGTAGTTTGGGAAGATGGCATAGAGTAGAAGAAAAGATTTGAGAGGCAAGGAGAGTTTTTAGGCTGAGTGAGAGGTGATGAGGTTCTGCCCTGAAGTGAGGTGGTTCTGAGTAGGGAGAAAGAAATGCATTGTAGTATAATGTTAAAACATTCTCCTTGTCCATTTGGTTGTAGTCAGGATAGACAGACATAAATGAAGACGAAGAAAAAGATCAGATTGTGTTAGACACTTTTAGGCCTAACTTGATTCAGTAGCATTTTCATCTAGAAGTTCATATTGGTTGTTGTAATCTGTTTTGTTTTGTTTTTTAGTTTAGATATTCCACCAAATTCTCAGAAGAAAAGGGGTGGTAATCCTCATTAATCTATATATGTTCCCTCTGTGTTACATACATCAATAATAACTGTTTCTTTGTCCTAAACAGTTACACTTATTTTACATTATAAAGTTCTAGTGATAGAGATTACACCTTCTGTGTCTACCTTTTGTGTTTAACCACTTATATATGTTATCTAAAACTTTCCATTTGTTGACGTAAGATGTCAGTAAGCCTTTTGAATTTTTCCACTGTAAATTCTGACTTACGCAGTTGTTTATTATACTATAGTCCATACCATAACTAGTAAAATATTGCCTAATAAAAAGTTATTCCTTTGGACTTAAATTTTTTTAAGTTGATTTATGTATTGAAAATGGGACCTCAGGAGGTCAGAATGATTTTGTAATTTGTCTAGACTGTTAATGAAAAGGTGGTTTTTTATTTTTATTTTGTCATTGTTGTTGTCTTTTAGGGAAGACCATTGCAATTGGAAAAGTTCTGAAACTGGTTCCAGAGAAGGACTAAGCATTTTTCTCGATGACCCTGCACAATACTGTGAGGAAAATTGACTCTGCAAAAGCCTACTTCACACCGCCTTCTCTTATTTTCTGCCCATTGATAAACTTCTCCCCATGTTTTGCAAAGACAAATTTCACAGCAAAAGTCCACATTATGTCAGCTTTCTCATATTGAGAGCTCTGCTATGCCACTGTTGAATTTCCCCAGAGTTTTTTTTCTCCTCCCAAATTCTGCTTCCTTGGACAGATTTGGCAATAGCTTTGTAAGTGATGTGGACATAATTGCCTACAATAATGAAAACCTAAAGGAATTTTTTATTTTTAATTTTCCCCTTAGGCATATTTAGACATCTTTTTTCCAGGCAGATCATTCAGAGTGTGCGAGTGTGTGTGCACATGTTACAGAGACAACTACCATGTTAATAAAATATTCAATTTGAAATCCTTTTTGGTATTTGAATTGCTTTTGAATAATGTTTTTTATCTGGATGTAACACTGTTGCATTAGCTTTTTAACTTTCCAAGTAATTGAATACATTTTATTACTTGGACTTTTCTAAACTACCCCACCCACCCACCCACTGTTTTAAATGAGGCATTTACAAACAATGTTCAAGGTTGTTATTAAAGGAAAAAAATTAGTTTTGTCCCTTTCGGTGGTTAGTGCATTCATAAAACTAAAATACGTTTGTTCAAACATGACACTGCTTTATTAGCTTTATGTCAGTTTTATTTTCTGCCAAAATTAATATTTAGGTTTGTTTACTTGATTTCTTAAACACATTGTTTTGAAATGACAAACAGCATTCTGTGGTTTTATAAGTAAAACATAATGAAATTCTTCCCCTCTGTAAAAATCTAGTAACCAATTAAATCAGTGGAATTCACAAAAAAGAAAACTTGCAAGATCTGGCATGAAGTGCCTCTATTAATATTTATAGAAGCTGCATTGAGTTTGAAAACTGCATCAGTGAAAATTGCCAGTTCTTACAAGTTACTCAGTTCACTCTCTGTATTGGTAACTTTGAAGGCTGGATAATCCTTGTTGTGTAAAGCTAAATATGAATTAAGAAAATCAACTACCAAATATTTATGATCATAAGAATTTGCACATAATGATATTTGGAGTGAGATAAGTAGAATCAAGCACAGTTTAAATTTGTGATCTAAGCAGTTTGAACAAGAAAGCTGAGTTTTCTTCAATCTAAAACTGAAATTAATTTTTTTATTGAGCCACCTATCGGCATTGTAGTTCTTCTTAGGTTGAAGGTTAACAATCTGCCATAACTATGACTGAAAAACAAATTTCAGGTGAATGAAAAATGGGAAAGAAAACTTTCAAAATATTACTAGAAGCCCCTAATTTAATTTTTAGTCTTGGCCATCTATTGAAGAGTTGACTTTTTTAGATTGTTACTTTCCCCTAATATAAGATACTATGTAATTGTGTATTTAAATAATGGAGAATCCCCTCCCTGTAACATCCCTCAGAAATGAAAAAGCAACAGTCAATGACTATTTCCATTCAAAAAATTTAAAACTTAAAACATTTTAACCCTTTCTGTTTCTTTGTAACTGTGGAACCTCCCATTCATTTAACTTATAAGGCTACATTGTATGGACAGAGCAAAATTATTGTCCTTCAGTTTCATATGATAACACCTGTAGCTACCATAATGCATGAAATTTAAATAAATTTTATTATGTCTGCAAATCTCTGGGCTTTTATTTCTGGGAAATCTGAGAGCTTTAATTGAATTTTATAAACTCTTGTATTGACAAATGAACAAGAGCAAAACACTAGCTTTTTTTGGATTTCAAAGAGTCTAAAAGTTAAAGAATCAGTGAAATTCTATCCAAAGATTATTTTCCATTTTTGATTGAATTTTTTAACCAGATGTTTGCTGTCAGAGTGTTTACACTTTCAATAAACTGCTTGTTGCCAAGACTGTTAAAAAGAATGACATTAACCATGGAGGGATATGCTTATAGTTAACAGCTATATTCAAAATCAAATTTTTAAAGTTTTTTTTAAGTAGAATTTTCGTATTTGAGTAACATTAAATTAATTATTCTACAGAAATTTAAACTTGGATAATTGACTGGAATGTGTTTCACATGAAAACATTCCAACTTAAGAGATGGCAAATTTTAAAGCCAGTCCCCTTTGAGTCTAGCTGATATTTTGCTCCGGGGACTATAGATTTTGAAGTGATTTGGTAGCATGTAGAAATTTGGCAGATTGCCTTTTAGCCTTCTTTAAATGCTGAGCTGTCATTCTCAAGTCTGCAATCTGCTTACGTATTAATGGTCAAGTGGCAGAGCAGTAGGGCAGTTGCCTATGTGTTTAGGATATAACCTAAACATTTTTTTTGTCTTGAATATAGAAGTATTAGATAAATGATTTTCCTTGAAAGTTCCTCAGAGATTGCATCTTTTTATGTTAAATAATATGCTTCATCAACTTTTCATGCAAAATCGTTTTGCATAATTTTTTAATTGATGCACTGAATTTGGGTGAAGAATGCAAAGGACAAGACTGCATTTGTCTAGTTTTTGGAATATAGTGCAATTGCTAGTTATAAGTTCATCTATGTAATGAGGTTTTCTAAATAATTGCCACCATAAATACTTATTTATTTCAGTGGAGAAACAAAAAAAAAGGCATACTTACTGATTTTAATTTGAAAAAGGACTTATCCAGCCATAAGAATGGAAATGTTATGTAAATTGCAACTTGAAAGAGTTGGACTGAGTATGTTGTCATGAAATAAGACATTGTCAAATGATAGATGGTATAGTGATTTCAAGCCCATGTATGTTTCCTTTATCTTGAACTGAAAGTCTGGATAATGTATATGATTAAACGCAAGAATACCATAAATGTTCCTTAGAGAGCCCAGGTTGTTCACTGTAACATGAAACTAATTCATTTTTGTCTACTGGTAAATGCTGTAATGCTATGAGAACTGCTCGTATGGGACATTAAAGACCATATGAAGTGAGCTGTTACTGGCAATAGCCCCTCAAGTGGAGTACTTCCAGATATTTGGGTCATACTTGAAACCAAATGAGGTTTGCTTCAAAAAAGTATGGTAACTCTAACATCCTGAATGAACTTTTGAGGAATTAGCTCTTCCACTGGTGATCTACAGGAGCACTGGTTATTTGGCTGGCATCCTTCATACAAGATTTTTGATGACTTCTCCACAAAAGAGCTCTCCAGCAGCTTTTCTCAGTGGCAAAGTCTTCCCATTGAACACAGCTACTTGGATGGTGACTCTACTGCTTTTGGTAGGGTCCTTAGGTGATCATGGTTTTAAATGCAGTTGTCAGTCTCTTTAGTATCTGGCAACTTTTAAAACTGATTTTTTTAATAGCTCTGGTTACAACACTATAGTTCTGATCACATTGGCTAATGTTACATTCAGCATGGGCAGACAATACCAGTGCAAACTGTCATTAATCCTCTCACAGACATATGTAAGGTAGATAGTGATCAATCAGGGGTGATATTTGGTATTTTTTTTTCACTCTAGAAATCTTGGCTTAGATTTTCCTCTGCTAATTTTTAAGTGAAACCTAGCAGTTTGATATCTGATAAATAGTGATAATGATTTTCTTACAGAAGTCACACCATGGTGGTAACACATTAGTCTATTCAGTTCTGAGCAATTCAGAAAATGTGAGAGTTGCATTTTGTACTCCTTATACATTTCAATGAATAGTAACCATTACCCAAAATTATTTTCTAACAGATTTTCAGAGTAGTTTCAATTTGAATATATTTACTATTAGCGTTCAAGTTGGCCAAATATTGATGGAATTTTGGTTCTAAGATATTGCATTACTTTTCAATATCATAGAACTCACTGAGTCTTCCTTATATTAATAAACTTCACACACTTCTAATCCTATACTTCCTTGAAACATCAGTATGCTAAAGAGTTATTGGTGCACTTAGGAATTGAAAAAAAAAAGAGGAATTAAAGCAGTTTTTATGATACCCTATAAGGATAATAGAAGCATTTGGTTTTTGTTTGTTTGTTTTGTTTTCTTTCATTAAGCTGCAGATGCCAGACTGAGAGACCTGTATGAGTGCTACCTGTTTTTTTCTGATCATCTAGCACTGGTCACGTGTGCCTGCTAACATTGAACTATCAGGTTTGGAGAGAGCAGACATGGAATAGGAATGTTTTCCCTCTGCCCATATTTAGCTTTAATTTTCTAAACTATTGTTAGCTTAGTCACTGGTAGATGAAAAAGCTGTTTTGTTTCAAATACTGCTGGCCATAGGTTCTCACTACCTCCTTTTCTGCTACCCATGAAAGGGAATACATTTGTATTGGAGTTATAACTTGTGAATTCCTTGGGTAATCAAATTTCTCCCCTGTTATATATATGCACATTAAGTAGGAATTATGAGAATTTAGTTGTTAGACAATTATTTTTTCCTTACGTATATTGTATTTGGTAAAAACAAGATTGGCTGTGGGTCACAGACAGCCTTTATTTTCATGGATGAAAACTGAATACTTAACACAGTGTATTATCAGATATTCATTGGTAATGAATTGCCAAATGTCTACTCCCTCTTTGTTTCTAGTAGACTTGAGTTTCTTCTGTTAGTTCCTGTTTAAAAAAAAAAACCATAAAACAAAAACAACATAGAAATATTTCAAGATTTTCTGTGACTTTGAGTTTATTTTTCAGTGGGGAGGATAAAGGGATTGGTTACAGTATTTTAAAAGCAAAGTCAAGGAATCTCTCTTTAAGTGGGAATTTTGGGGATCTGCAGTTAAAATTCTTTTTCCATATGATTTATAGCTACCTACTGTGCCTAACATGATGCCTGTGTGAGGATTACGCTTAGTCTGCTCTTGCGGCTATTCATATGACAAGTAAAAAATTGCCTTTGTAATAACAATAAAATATTGTCATCTTCCCTTTTGAAGGATTTGTCTCTTTGTTTATAATCGCTTTCATTGTACCACATCATGAGTGCAAATGTCCATGCTTTTGTACATTTTTTAATTTATTTTTGTACTCTTTATTGGGCTTAGAAGCACCTACTAAGTAGTTTTATTAGAATGGCTCTTCTAAGTTCTGTTGTACCAAGAAATAACAAATTTGCGTGTTTTGGCTATGCTTGCATACCACATGCAAGGCTTTTGACTGGTTTATCTGACTGAATCTTGCAAAGCATAAAATAGCACTCCAGGAAGTTGGAAATACTTAATAATAAGTCATTATAGTATGCAGGTTTTTCTATACTGTTCCATTGGGAAATGTCAGTGATTTAATCAGTAGACCTCATATGTACCTCAATATATACTTTTTTACCAGGTAATGCTCTAATCTATGAAACTTCAGGATTTTTACCATAGAGACCAAATAGTACTTTCCCTTTACTCTGGGCAAAATCAAAAGAAAAAGTATGAACTGAAGAAGTATATACAGTGGTTAAACGTATAAATGGCAGCAAGATATTTCTTAGATTTGCTGTTTTTCCTTTCTTATAGCTATCAGCTCTTTTTTGTAATCTCTACAACCAGAACTTTAGGTAAAAGGCATTATTCCAAATTTTGCATGAGCAGAATCCAAACATATATTTATGGCACAGAAGAAACTCACTTGGGGTTTAGGCTTTTTGATGCTTAGAATTTCAATGTAGATATACAGTCACCAAAGGGAACAGTTGAATTTTATTGAGTTGTAATTGCTATAAAAGGTAAATAACTGGATAGTTTTCTAATAACCAAGATTAAGTTTCTGATCTAAGTTAAATTGGGCCTGGAGCAAGCCTAACAAATAGTTTTGTCTTCATTTGGAATGATCTACGTTGTCCTTTGACATCAAACCACATACAGGTATTATATTACAGGGTGGGTAGCTTACTGTGACTCTAAGACCTTTGTCCTTCAGATTATTGTGTTTTTTTCCTAAGCACAGGGTGTCCTTTTTTGAGGGATTATAGGTCTTTCCAGGGGCAAGGCAGTGTATCCACCTTTGATGCTATTTTTCAAGATGAGGAAAGTAATTATCCCCATAATCTGGAATACTTGAAGCATTTAAAAAGTATATTATTTAGGTCCTAGTGCTTATTATACTACGTTAATCCCTTTGTTTTCAGTTACGGCATTATTTTAAGCACATTACCATTGGATGATAATGGTGATATGTGGACAAGTTAAATAAAATCTGTTTGGACTACTGTACCATCCCTTTTTTAGTCTCCCTGTATTTTTTATTTGCAGTCCAGATTGTTCCACATGCTTCTTATAAAAGTGAAATTTTCTTCTGTCTCTGTTAAATGAAGCCTCCATACTAATCTTTCCCTGGACTTGTGGCATTAAAACTTCTTGTTCTTACTTCTAAGGTCTTGTCTAACACAACTGTTTTGTGTGATAATCACGTTCTTTTGCCTGTTTTCTTAATTTTACGCCTGAAAAAAAATTAGCAGTCTACAACTGCTACCATTTTTAGTTATGTTGTCTGGGTTAACTTAAATTCAGCAATTATAAAATTTTAAGAGTGTATACATATATGTGTGTGTGTGTGTGTGTGTGTGTGTGTGTATATATATCTATATCTATATATGTATGTATGTATGTATATTTGCTAGTAATTCCCCAAATACTGTTGTGAGGAATAATAGTGTGATCACAATGGGTGTCCTGAAGATAGGGGATACAATATAAAAAAACCAGCATTACATATAAGCTCATCTTGGAAAATTTTTTTTTTAGTATTTCCTAATTTTTTTTAATGTTTTCTGTTCCATTAATCTTGGGAAAGGGTAGGTTCTTGATTTTTATTATGTAGTCTATGGGTATTGTGAGCTGTATTTATAGCTTGTTTTTAACTGGAAGAATGGCAGTAACATTGAAAGAATGTAGTGTGGAAAGATCACTGGTCTAGGAATTAGAACTTTTGTTTTAATTACTGCATTTCCACTACTATGTCACCTTGGATAAGTTATTTGGTGTCTTGGGCCCTCAATTTTATCAGTAAAACTTGTTAGGGGAAGAGAGAGACCAGATATTGCTCATCTTCACACCAGAATTTTAAGTATTTCTTTCATAGACTCTAAATATTAATCTCATTTTAGAAGACAGAATAAAGAGGTTGCAACTTGCCCAAATGAGAAGAGCCAGGGTTCTAACCCAGGTGCTTTTGATGCCAAAACAATGTTCTTTCTATATACCACACAACAGCTTTAGAATAGAAACTTGTAAGAGAGTGATTCTCATAGGGAATAATTTTGTAGTTCAGTCGTTTTTCAGTTGTCTGACCCTGCTTGACCCTGTTTGGAGTTTTCTTGGCAAAGATACTGAAGTGGTTTGCCATTTCCTTCTCCAGCTCATTTTACATATGAAGAAACAGGTAAATAGGGTTAAGTGACTTATCCAGGGTCACAGAGTAATTATCTGAGGCTAGATTTGAACTCAGGAAAATGGGTCTTCCTGACTCCAGGCCTGGATTCTATCCAGTGCACCACTTAGCTACTCTAGGGGAATAATTTAATGTAGGGGAATAATTTAATGTTTGTATGTGAATTCTTCTAGGTAGGAAGTTTGTATTTAGAAGTTGGAAATATTATGTTTAATGTTTTTGTTAATTACAATACTTGAATTTAATCATGTAAATTGGTGGCAGCATGCAAACAACTTTGAATTATGGGTAGAAATGAAAGGAACAAATAAAACTGAACCAAAACAATCCAAAACCATTTGAGTGACAAATTTGACCTCTTGTTACCTGCTCTTTTATGGAGCTATTAAGGAATAGATTATCTAGTAACCAATAAAAGATGAATTAAAAAACCCTTTTCTATACTTGTACAATGAGTCACTGGTCACTCATTTTAATTCCTACATCTCCCTAGGCTTCCTCATGTTCTTGACCTATTATGACAATCCATGACCTAGCATTTTTGTTTCATTTTGTTTTTTTTGTAGTCATTGGGGTTAAGTAACTTGCCCAGGGTCACACAGCTAGTAAGCGTCTGAGGCCGAATTTGAACTTGGGTCCCCCTGACTCCAGGGCCAGTGCTGTTTCTACTGCGCCACCTATCTACCCCATGATCTAGCATTTTTAACTGGTATTTGTCCTTTTTTTCTCTTGTTCCTCTGTAGCTACTGAAAGTCAAAGTTCTCTATACCTACTATCCATTTCTTCTCTCTGATGTTAAAGGAAGAAGTGTTTCCCCTGTTTTCCAGGGAAAACACTACCCCCACTTCTGCTCTTAAATCATTTCCTTCCCATGTGCTCAGAGACCTTGTTACTTCAGTTCTTCAGTTCAATCCAGCAAGCATTTATAAAGTACCTGTATGCTTTCTAACATGTTCGTGTATTCTGTTAACTATTTACTTCCTTTCTCTTTTAAATATAAACTACCTTATTTATCTTCACTTTTACTACAAAACTTTTCAATTGATTGGACTGTATACATTTCCTCTATTTCTTCACATCTTGTTAATTCATTTTACTATATACTTAAAATTCTGCCTGCACCTTAATGGTGCAAAATCCAGTGAATTTTTTTTATAATCCTAATTTCTTTGGTCTCTGCAGCTAATAACACTATTGGGAACTCCCTTGAAATTTGCTCTCGTCTCAACACTACACCAATACTGAATTCGTACCTTTAATTTATTCCCTATTCTAGTGTTTCCTCTTTTCCCTGAAATAGGATTATCACCCAAAGTTCAGTCCTAAGTCAACTTCACTTTCTACACTATCCATTAGGGAATTTCTGCTTTCCCAACTCAATTATTACCTCTAGGTTGATTAATTTAAAAATCCATAACCTCCAGCCTACACTGCTCCTGATATCTAATCCTTGTATCTACAGCTACCTTTAAGACAATTCCTCTTGGAAACACTACAGCTTCCTTTCCCAGCTTCATAATACCTTGATGGTAACAGACAGACCTCAGTCTGATAAAGCATGAATGTTTGCTAATTAGCAGATCCAGAAGCCAAATGTGCATTAGAAAAACTGACAAAAGACAAATTGGCTGGGTCCAAAGTGCCCATTTTACCCAATAAAAACAAAACTGCCCCTGGTTTCGTAACCATACGTAGAAAAGTTGTAGGATATTAAAACTCAAAGTGAATAGAAAAGAGCAATCCTGGACCTAAGACCTCATCCCAGTACAGTCAGCCATAAAACTGCTATGGATTCCCCAGAAATAAAAGGACTAATCACTCTTAAAGACATCAGTTCTCACTCTGGCATCATCTTAAATATCCCTCTTTTTAAATGTTACAGACTAATTGAAAGTCACTCAATAACATCCCTTTTATTAACACATCTCTTACTCTCCCCTCACTATACAGCTCCCCCAGTCAATCCACATTTATCAAGTGCTTTTAATGTGCCAGGTACAGTGCTAAACCCTGGGAATACAAAGACAGAAATGAAATAATCAGCCCTCAGAATTTATATTCTGTCTGGTTGGCTGGTATCGATAACTATTATTCTCTGGTCTGTCTTTATCCAAAGTACATCTATACCTTTGTTTCCTTATCTGAAAAAATGGGGATAACAGCACCTACCTAATCTGATGAGGATCAAATAAGATAATGTATACCTGATAGATGGTGTGCACATGGATGATGGAATACTAGGTACATATCCCTTGGGATTTAGTATGTCTTTTGGTCACCAGATGGCACTCTATCTACAACTGAGCAACCTATTCCCTATGACCTCCAGGCATATCAACATGCTTTTCTCTAGCTGGCCCCCAGTTTTCATCTAGAATAGATCTAGGGTAGTGACTTGAAATATGCCACACACACCAACTGTCTCTTAATGACAATGTTTCGATGTTGTTTATTGAAACGTTATGATAATTCAAGTGGTAACAGAAAGCAAACAAGAAAAATTATAGAATAGAATTGATGATGTGCAAAATCAAATCCCTTTTCTCTCAGCAGAAGGGA